ATGAAGAAATGTAAGATATCTAAGCATAATATCTCTTGACTGCGTCTGAATTGATTGGATTTGATCAGATTTCCCCATCCATTTCTGCATGTACGAGTGCTCCTTATGTCAGCATACTATGAACTATGTACGGACCCTGCTAGTTGGGAGAGAATTTCCCTTTTACTTTATCTTGATGCGGGAAGATTTTCTTCAATACCAATTGCCCTGGTGCGAACTGTCTTGGTTTGACCCTTTTGTTGGCTGTAACATACTGCGTTCATCCTCTTTCCATCGTTAAAGGCCAATTATTCATAGCGACTCTTATCCACTATGCATCGTTGAGTTCAGCTTCTTATGTGATTCTTAAAGAAGGAATCTCTACCTCGGCTAGGATGACAACCTCGGTACCATAAAATAGTATGTAGGGAGTTTCCTCTGTGCAACCGTGGTACCCCAAAAGAGCAAAGGATAACTTATCATGCCATTGTTTGTGGTTCTCTACCATTTTCCTTAGTATCTTCTTAATGTTTTTGTTGGCAGCTTCTACAACTCCATTCATCTTAGGTTTGTAGGCTGTGGAATTCTTGTGCTTGATTTTGAATGCTTCACACACATCTTTCATAAGATCACTGTTGAGATTGGTGTCATTGTCAGTAATAATGGACTCGGGAACTCCGAATCGGCAGACAATACTATCCTTGACAAAATCTGCGACGACTTTCTTGGTTACAACTTTGTAAGATGCAGCTTCTACCCATTTTGTGAAATAATCAATGGCTACCAGAATAATCCTGTGTCCATTTGAAGTAGTGGGCTCAATTGGACCAATAACATCCATTCCACAAGCGACGAATGGACAAGGTGAGCTTGTTGCATTGAGCTCGTTCGGAGGCACTTTTATCATATTGGCAACACTTGACATTGAAAGAATTTGCAGACATACTGGATGCAATCTATCTCCATGGTCATCCAAAAGTAACAGGCTCTGAGTATCTTCTTAGCCAAGACAAAACCATTCATGTATGGGCCACAGGTCCAGGCATGCACGTCCTCAAGTAGCTTAGAAGCTTCATTTGCGTCAAAACATCTTAGTAAACCCAGATCAGGAGTTCTTCTATATAAGTTTCCTCCGCTGTGGAAGAAATGATTAGATAATCTCCAGAGTGTACGCTTGTGAGTGTGGTTTGCATGCTCCGGATATTCTCCCTTTGATAAATACTTCTTGATGTCATGGAACCAAGACTTTCCATCCGCTTCTTCTTTAACATGAGCACAATATGCCGGCTGATCATAGATCCTCACCAGAATGGGATTAATATAATTCTTATCTGAATGTTGTATCATAGATGACAAGGTGGCCAATGCATTGCCAAACTCATTCTGAATTATGGGCACATGTCGGAATTCTATCTTCGTGAACCTCTTTTTCAATTCCTGCACATGGTGCACATATGATAATATCTTGGAATTCCTAGTGGCCCACTATCCTTGTATCTAGTGCACAAGCAAATCTGAATCACCAATCACCAGCAACTCCTGAACGTCCATGTTGACTGCCATGTTGAGCCCTAGTATGCAGGCTTCATACTCTGCCATGTTGTTGGTGCAGGGAAATCTAACTTTAGCAGATACCAGATAATGCTGACCTGTTTCTGATACCAAAACTGCTCCAGTGCCCACTCCTTTAAAATTTGCGGCTCCATCGAAGAACAACCTCCAACTATCATATGCTTCGGTAATGTCTTTCCCTACGAACGATACTTCTTCATCAGGAAAATATGTTTTCAAAGGTTCGTATGCTGCTCCCACCAGATTTCTGCAAGGTGATTTGTCAATGCTTGTCCTTTGACCGCCTTTTGAGTTACGTAGACGATATCGAATTCACTCAACAATATATGCCATTTGGCCAACTTTCCAGTCGGTATGGGTTTCTGGAATATGTACTTTAGAGGGTCCATCCTAGATATGAGATATGTAGTGTAGGCGCAGAAGTAGTGCCTCAATTTCTGAGCTGTCCAGGTCAAAGCACAGCAAGTGCATTCAAGTAGAGAATATCGTGCTTCATAAGGCGTAAACTTCTTACTCAAGTAATATATGGCTTTCTCCTTCCTTCTTGTCTCATCATGTTGTCCCAGAACACATACGAAGGCTCCATCCAACACGAATAGATATAGTAGCAAAGGTCGTCATGGCTTTGGTGGGACTAGAACTGGTGGTGGGGACAAGTATTCCTTGATCTTTTCAAAAGCTTTCTCACAATCCTCTATCCAGCTTGTTTCAGCATCTTTCCTCAGCATCTTGAAGATAGGTTCACATATGACTATGGATTGTGCTATGAATCGACTGATGTAGTTGAGCCGTCCTAGGAAGCTCTTCACATCCCTTTTGCTCTTAGGTGGTGGTAAATCCTAAATAGCCTTGACTTTAGACGGATCTAGCTCGATCCCTCGACTACTGACGATGAATACCAGTAACTTTCCTACGGGAACCCCGAATGCACACTTTGTGGCGTTCAATTTCAAATTGTACCTCCTGAGCCTGTCAAAAAACTTTCTCAAATCCACTATGTGATCTGTAGCCCTCGGATTTGATAATGACGTTGTCCACATTCACTTATATTTCCTTGTGTATCATATCATGTAAAATAGTTGTCATGGCTCTCATGTAAGTGGCCCCAACATTCTTTAGACCGAATGGCATCATCATGTAACAGTATACACCTCACGGTGTGATGAAAGCTATCTTCTCTGCATCTTCTTCATCCATCCAAATCTGGTGATAACCCGTGAAGCAATCTACAAAGGATTGGAGTTCATGTTTGGCGCAGTTGTCAATCAGGATGTGTATATTTGGCAGTGGGAAGTTATCCTTGGGACTTGCTCTGTTTAAATCTCGATAATCAACACATACTCTGATCTTTCCATCCTTCTTTGGAACTAGCACAACGTTAGCTAGCCAGGTTGGATATTCAACCACCCTAAGAACTTTGGCTTTGATCTGCTTGGTAACTTCCTTCTTGATTTTCAGGCTCATGTCTGGCTTAAACTTTTGGAGTTTCTGTTTTACTGGCGGACACATGGGATTAGTAGGCAACTTGTGAGCCAGTATGGACGTTCTCAAACTAGTCATGTCATCATATGACCATGCAAAAATTTCCTCATACTCTTTTAGGAAATAGATGTACTCTTCCTTCTCTGTTGGTGACAAGTGAATGCTGATGCGGGTCTCCTTGACGGTCTCATCGTCTCCCAAATTTACTGCTTCGGTCTCGTCCAGATTGGACTTAGGCTTATTCTCAAAAATTTTAACCCCCCTGAAGATTTCCTCGGGTATCTCATCTTCTTCCTCTGAATAACTATTCTCAGGTTGCGTTGCCTCATTACATGTCACAGTCACTGGTTCATCAGGAAAAGTAATAATAATGATGTAGAAAGGAAAAACATAAAGATAGTAGTGACTAATAAAGAGCAAATACATTTGATTAAAATTTGAAAAATTGTCTAGACAAAGTATGGCTCGATAAATCGAGCATTCATTTTGAAACAAGTAAAACTTAAAGCAAAATTACGAAAAATCTTAAATGCCTAGAATGGTTTGTAGAGGTAAATTCTGCCAAGATACCCAGGGACTCAGCGGGCTTGGATGGTGTGGCGGTCCAGTTTCTGAGAACAACTCCCTTCTCCATAGTCTGAATAGTAAGGCCTTCTTCCTCCTCCTCATCCTCCTCAATTATGGCACCGCAGTCCAGGTCCTCATCTTCCAAGAACAAATTCTTCAACCCAGCTAGTGCTTCTTCTTCTGCAATCCCCCATATTATGTCAGCCTAGTGAAAAGCTTGTTCCAAATATGGCACTGGTTGCTCAAGAGGGTAATACGGTCCATGCTATCGAGGCGACCAATCATTGTACTCTCGCTATGTATACTGGTATCCGAGCGCAAAGGTGGTACCATGATTTTTTAGTTGTATTGGTTTGGTGATACCTTGGAGGTTCTTTCCCAACCCTTTGCCGTATTCATATCCAGACCATGCTAGTATGCTTTCTATTTTGTTACTCCACCACTTATCCTTCTCGACGGCATTGACCCGTTCAATGTGATGAGAGGCTTCCCCTCCTAGCCTTCTTCTATGTCCAATAGCCGGTATGGTTTGACTAGTGTAGATGGGGTTACTTCCATTTTCGTGAATAATTACCTCCTGGTGGTTCCATTCAAACTTCATGGCTTGATGTAGTGTGGAAGACACGGCTCCAATAGCATGGATCCATGGCCAACCCAACAGGAGATTATATGAGGCTGGTATGTCAAGCACCTGAAATTCAACATCGAACCAAGTTGGCCCCATCTGCAAGCAAAGGTTGACTTCCCCGATCGTGGCCTTCTAGGACCCATCGAAAGCCTTCACATTCATGCTTCCTACCCGTATCTCATGAAAACCTTTGTCCAACCTTTTCAGAGTGTCTAATGGACAAATATTTAGGCTCGAACCTCCATCAACCAAGACCCTAACAATGAAGTTGTCTTCAAATTGCATCGTAATATGCAATGATCGATTGTGATTCAGTCCCTCGGGTGGTAGCTCATCTTCGTGGAAGATGATCTTATGAATTTCTAGTACTTGTCCAACCATGTTGGCCATTTTTCTGCCGGTGATGTTATTGGGTACATAAGCCTCGCTCAACACTTTCATTAAGGCGTTCTTGTGTGCCTCTGAATTCTGTAATAGTGACAGGATAGATATCTGAGCAGGGACTTTGTTCAGATGGTCAACAACAGAGTACTCATTTTCATGTACTTTCCTCCACAGGTCATTTGGCCCGGTCTCAATGATAGGCTTCCTAGTAGTGTCCTCCTTACTTGAATCTCCCAGGTGTTTAGGTGTATAGACTCTTCCGGTTCTATTCATTCCTTGTGCAGCGTCAGATTCCTCTACCTTGGCCTTCCCTTTCCACCGAGCCTCGACAACATAGTCCTAGGGTATTGCTTTTGAGTTGAATGGGGGTGTGGTTGATATTGTCATAATGAAATATGTGACCACTTCTACTTCAAATGGAGCAGGGGTGGCTGCGGGTGGAGCCACTTCTACCTCGAATGGAACTGATGCAGTTACCTCAACCTCGATTGGTGCCTGATTCTGAACCATAATAGGAGTAAGTGTGACTGCAACCTTAAAGTCATCACCTTCTCGAATAACCCTGATCGACCCCTCAGGGTCCCATTCTTCATTTATCTCTATCACATATACACCATCACCTTTGTGATTAGGGAGGGCATTGTTGCGAACATTAGGTGCGGCTTCCTTTGCTTGTATGACCTTGTTGACAATTAGTGTCTGGATCTTATCCTTCAGTGTTCGGCACTCAGCAGTGGTGTGCCCTTTCATACCGGAATGGTACGCACAAGTTTTGTTTGGATTGACCCGTTGGGATGGATTTTCTAATGCCATAGCGGGAACGGGAGTGACGTAACCTACGACTTTCAACCTTTCATATAGTTGGTCGATGGTCTCAGTAATAGCGGTGTATTGCCTGGGTGGTTTGCAGTCGAAGTTGGGTCTTGGTCTTGGATAATTTTGGCGAGCTGGTGGTGATTGGAAGTGGGATGGTTGGGAGTTATAGGTATGATGGACAGTGGTTGGTTGGAAATATCTGGGAGATGAAGGTTGATATGTAGGCGGTGTTGCTTGGTATCTGGGTGGAGGTATTTGATATGTGGGTGGAGGTGTTTGATAGTTAAGTGGATATTTTAGGCCATGGGCCACCATTACCTCCCCAACATCTTTTTTCTTCGATATGCCACCTGATTGTAGTGCCTTATTCATGGCTTGCAGTGCCTCAAAGTTTGTTACCATCCCATTCTTGATTCTTTCTCCAAGTTTGATGATGTTAGAGAATTTTTGATTTTTGATAACCATCAACCTCTCATAATATTGTGGATCATGTGCCCTGACGAAGAATTTATTCATCTGTTCTTTATCCAAAGAGGGCCTGACCTTGGCCGTTTCCGACCTCCAATGAGTAGCGTATTCACGGAAAGTCTCAGTAGGTTTTTTCTTAAGATTTTGAATGTAGAAAACATCCAGTGCATTTTCTGTGTTGAAGCTGAACTGGTCCATAAAATCTGACGCCATGCTTACCCAATTGGACCATTTCTTGGGATTTTGGCTGATATACCAAGACAAAGCATCCCCAGTAAGACTCCTCATAATGAGCTTCATCCAGATATTTTCATCTTTTCTGACCCCGACAAGCTTGTCACAATAGGTCCTTAGATGAACCTTGGGATCACCTATGCCATCGAACATTTCGAACTTAAGAGGTTTGTACCCCTCTGGCAATTTGACATCCGGCTGTATGCACAGATCTTCATAGTCCAAACCTTCTATTCCTCTGTCGCCTTCAACATCTTGAACTCGGGTTGTTAACTTCTTGAGTTCTTCAGCCATGTTTTTAATGAGCAGGTCCTTCTCGAAGGATTCCGGTGTATATGAGATTGGTTGGGTAGAGTGAGGTACAGTTTCCACACATATAGGGTTGCTTTGATGGGTGCCAAGGACTTGGGTGTAATGATGGTCATTGGTGGAGTTTTGGGATCGGGAATGGGTTGTGGTGTGTTTTGGAGAGTGTGGTAAGTGGTGGTTAGTGGGTACTGAATCGGTTGATGATGATGTTGTGGTGGAGTTGGTATCAACAGCGGATTGATATTTTGGGGTGGAGTTGCATATTAATTTGGTGTGGTAGGATTTTGTGGCTATTGGTTTTGTGTGTTCTGAGGAGGTGCTGGGTTCTTTGTGTTTTGTTGGTGGATATCGGGGACATTGAGGGTGAGTGACAAGTTTGCCATGTTGCGAACCTGCTCAAGTTCTCCTTGCAATTATAGTATCTTTTGTTCTAGTCTCAAAACTAGATCATTTGGGGTCGGGGTACTATGGCCATCTGAGGTTTCTGCATTATCAATATTCTCCTTTCGGATGCCACTTAAGTCGTCCATTTTTGCTTTTCCTTTGTCTTTTGTGTTGCTTGGAGGAGGAGGAGGTGGAGGGACTCTAGATCTGGTGTGGTACGCTGATGAGGCCAGTATGAGTGAACCAACATAAGAGAATGGGAATAATAAAAATAAGAAGAAGAAAAAAACAAAAAGGTAACAAGTCAGTGAGGATCCTAAAATGTTTGCAGTATTTAAACACATATTGTGGAAATGTAAATTCGCGTCTTCATTTGGGAACCCCGTTGTGCCTGAGGTAGGCCTAGTGAAAAATAGATTTGGATAACTTTAAATGCCAATAAATGCTTCATTTTATAATAGATGAATCCCAAAACGACACTAAGATAAAATAAGTCACTACTTGCATTTGGCCTTATTACATTTTTAGGAAAAGCAAATAATTCTAGCCTATTTAGTCCCAGAAGGACCTTCCCCAGATTCGATCTTCTGGACTCCATCATATAGATCCCCCAGCTCGCGCAGCCCTAGCAGCAAGTAGGCTCTGGCCAGATGTCCTCCCTCAGCTTCTTCAGCGTTCTGACAATTTTCAATCCTCTTTATGACTTTACCTTCCAGCTCCACTATTCCTCGCTCCAGATATTCCAGTTTCCTGTTGGAGGTGACTGCCATTTCTTTCCATTCCTCTATCAACCTCACATTCCTCTCATATATTTCCCGGTGCTCATTCTTAGAGTCATGGACCCTTTTGCGCAGCCTATTGTATTTGACTTGAGCTTCAGCTTCTTCATCTATGATTCTGTTACCTTGACCGGCCCCTGGTGTCACCATTCCTTTCAGATTGTCCTTTAACCATGTCGGGTTGAGAGGCTCGCACCATGCATGATACCTGTCTGGCTCAACGGTGTTCTTCTCCACAATGATTTTGCAGTGCCACATGTGATGAGCTCGGCACTTGTAAGGGACGTCGTCGTCTTGAAAGTCTGCCCTGAAATGACTCATCTTGACAACCCTTGGTACAACCTGTTTCCTTCCTGTTTGTCTCATAACTTGGATAGGGACATACGGGTATATCCCTCTCAACCCGATCAGCACCAAGTGCGGAGCATCCCTAGATCTAATAATAAATTCGTATGTTGGGAACCATTCAAACATCCATTGCACCTGTTCCTCAGTCAGATTGTCGAAGAACTCTACCCATTCTTTGGTGATTTTTGGCTAAGCAAATCTATCTGGAATATAAGTCATCTGCTTGGGGTGATGGAAGGCAATATGATCGTTCCAAGCCCCTCACAGAAATTCTTGGCAATAGCGACACTTCTAGAAATGCTCCAACAACCATAAATACAACAACAAATTACAACTCTAGAAATGCTTGACCCCTCTTTGACAGCACTCCAGAGCCCTATAGATGTCGGCTATGATCATGGGGACTATGGTATATGTTTGTCCATTAATCCCTTCCATCAAAGCCTTGGCGACCATGGCCAAACTAGTGTGAATTCTTCCCTTTTTTCATTGGGAACACTATCAGGACTAAGAAGTATACAATGAATACGAATACTCTGCGGTGAATGTGACCCAGAGAAGTGAGAGAGATTTCATCATGGTAGGTACGAAAAGACTTGCTATGGACATACCTCTCATATAGGTATTTGAAAGGTATGTAAGATTCCTTCAAACACACTAGGTCGACATTCTTCTTCAGCCCTATCATCTTTAAAAATCTCCTACCGGTACGGTTTTCTGGTACCAATAACACGTGACTATCCCAAGTCAACCCCGCAAGCCCTGCAATTTCTTCTAGGAGTTGTGTCATTTCTATTTCGCCGAAACAAAACACGGCCCTTTCATTATCCCAGAATAAAGTGGCAGCCTCGATCAATTTGTTGTTTGGCTCAATATCTAGCAAGGAAGGCAGGTTACCCAGGTACTTTCTCACATGTTTCTAGTCACTTGAGGAAAGGTTCTCCCACCAAACTAGCAGCAATGGTGGGATGTTGCTAACCATACCGAATCTGGGGACATCGTTCCTCATTTTCTGCAAAACGAAAGGGTTAGGCCTCACCCCCACTAGACTCTACTATTTATACATTTATGATCAACATATCGGCATTTAGTTCTCCAAATTAATGCACAGACCGTGGTTGTGTCCGTTGGGATTATGGAAAACCCGATGGACTTTTGGATAAGGCTTATCTTAAACGATCATTACATGGACAACATATTGATCCGACTAGGTTTGACCATGATGCATGCATAATTTTGACCAGAGTAAGGCTACTATAGGGTTTTAAACCGGTACCCTCAAGTGGACAACTTAAGGGGGAAGGCACGGAGCCGTCGACTACACTGATGCTCGACTGGTTTTACCACAAATAAACCTTTCTGAATTTAAGGGTAGTAAATGGGAAGAGCGCAACCACTCATTAAAGTGTTGCTATAGGATTTGATACGCACGAGTGGAATATGATGTGCAGCATGATTTATGCAGCAATTAATAACATGTAGTCAAGTATTTGCACATAGGGAAAATAAATACAGTATTTAAATAATTGAAAGATAGTTACAGTAAAATGAAAACAAAGAGACAAGTTAGTTTCAGGGATAAAGAATCATAAATGCTTAAAAGGAAACGGACAGTTTAATTCAAATAAGAGAGAAGGGTACGGGATAAAACATGCTTGGACTAATTCATAAAATAGGTTTGTTATGGTAAGAGCCTAAAAGGTATCCCCAGCAGAGTTGTCATGCTGTCGTGCCCCCTTTTTTCCTCCGCGGAGAAAGTCGGGGTTCTGACATTCATGGGGTAATGACTCATTTCCTTTTGGGAGTTGGGTATTTGATGAGTCGCCACCTAACGGACTACAGTGCGTTAGCCACCTAAAGCGATTAACTCTTAGATTGGTTTGCATTACCAGAGATTTAGGGTAAGGGCTCGAAATAACCTTGAGGGAAAGGTGTTAGGCACCTTTCGAGGTCCACAACGGTGGGTCCCGGCCGAACTTATACTTACAAATTAGTCCTTTAAACAAATAAGTAGTTGAAGCAAATAATTGCAAAGGAAGCACGTTGTTTATTGTATGACTCAGATAATAGGCAAAAGATTTGAACAAGATGTGTACATATAAAACAAAGTTTTAAACAAAAGGAATTTTGGGAAAGGAGGAGTCCTAGGTTGGTTAGCCTACAGGATCACTCCACACAATGTCCGGTAAACACTCCTCAATAAGGGGCTACACGTGAGATTAGTGTGAAGTCGTCATATCCATATCTACCCATTCTCACCTCCTTAGTTGTTATTAAAGCGAGTATTGGTTAGCAATCTCTATTGCGTGCTGTTACCCATCCCTTCTTAATGGTCATGGAGGAAATTTAGGACCTCTACCTATAGGCAGTTCTAGACAGACCCCAAAGGTTTAAAAGAGAAAATGCTAAGGCAACAAGCAAGAACAAATAGGACCTTAGCACATAAGGCAGAAAAGAAGCAATTAGAGGCTCAAGTTTACCTCCACAAACAACACACATAAGCAGCACGACTCAAACACAACTAAGGGCCATATTGTTAAATATTATCCTAAGACATGATGTCTAAGTGAATATCAAGACATAGAAGATAGGCGGTTTATTTTATAAACTCAGAAGTAATGGCCCTATCATTTTGCCTACTAATTTTAAGCCTGTAGATCAGAACAATATTAAGTAGTAGAAATAGTTTCAGAGTTGCAAAATTCAGACTCACCCTATATGCTTGCCTAAACGCTGAATAGTGGTATCCTAAGAGCATGATAACTACGTTTGATATAGTAAAACAGTGGGTAGATTTTAAACCAGACTCTTGAGTTCCTATAGGCATGATGTCTAGTGATATATTAGGTCAATATTTGAAAGAATTCATTTCAGGAAAAACAAACCACTGATTAGACCAGTTTCGGAGTAGACTAATCATGAACTGGGTCGACTTATTTAAACTAAACTGATTTTTAGATCTATAGGTAGAATTTCTAATGTTGTTCCATATAAGCATGATATCTAATTGTTAAAAGCTGATGTTAGCAACTTGTAGGCATGATAACAAATGAAAACACATGTAAATACCCGTTATAACATAAGTTGAACTTGATCACATTCTATAGGCATGGTATCTACTTGTGAAGTTGATTTTAGGACCTATAAACATGATTTCTATTATCGGAATCACTTGAGATCTATAGGCATGATTTCTAACATGGTAAGGCAAACATAGCAAATATAAAATCCTATAGGCATGGTTTCTACCCATATTCACCCCACAAATATGTAACTACCCACCCTTTTTACTAGTCACCCCAATATTCGTTTACAAATTATTACAAACCTGATGAATTACATAAATAGATAAAAAGAAAAGAAGAAGTTAATCTATAGGGAGCCTGAAGCAGGACCAAGTGATTTCCAAATCTCTAATAGCCTCAAATGTCAATTTCATAGACAATATCATTGTCTAGGTGCCTTAGAGTTCCCTAAGGATCTCAAGGATCTCGGACAGTGCTCACACATAGACTTTGTAACCAAATTGAGTAAGTGCAGTGTGGAAGGGCCAGCCTCAGTGTGCCAAAGTTCAGAGGGTTCTCAAAAGGATCCCAAGGCAGTACACACACTGGAGGGGGCAGAACCTAGTGACTTAGGAGTAGAGTGAGAGTGCTTGACATAGTTTGAAAAAGGTTTCAGTAGGAAAACAGTGTTAAAAGAGATTTGCTTGAAATAGTTTTGTAAAAAAACATAGAGAGTTATTAAATGAGATAATTTGAAAAGGCTAAGGTGACTAACAATCAATCAAACCAAATACAGAACCAGAAGAGGTTCATCAGCACTTCAATACGTGGAATTAAACAGGTACACACATCAACTCAGGGGTAATGGGGATTTGGGGTAAGTATAGAGCACATAGTAAGCACAGATGCACATAGGTACAGAATTAGAGGAGCCTTGAAAGGGGTCAAGGGCTTTTAAAGTACAGCATGAACTTCAGAGTTAATACAGAATCAAACAGGCTTAGGATAGCCAATTACTTCACACTGGAAAGTGCATGACAAGAATCAGGGAAACATAGTCACATTAGGGTACACTAGAAAGGGATTCATGAGCAGGCTAATCCTAAGGGGGTATATTCAGAAGCATGCAGTAAAGAAGACAGTGAAGTAGGCATGTTAATTGCATGTTGAACAATAGAACCATAGATAGAAACAAACTAAAAACATGATAAATTGAAGTAGTAAAAGAAACATATTGGTTTTGAGACTTGAATTGAAATCAGAACATACCAGTAGAGAGATGGTAAACACAAAGTGAGTAATAGGAAAGCACAATAGTTTGCCTTGGCTTGCAGCCGGCTAACTCAGAATAATAGCATGTAACCAAAAAGAGAGCAGAGAGTTTGAGTGTGAGAGAGCTTTTGAACTAATGTGTTCATGTGTTTGTGTTAATGAGAGAGTATGTATATATAGTAGTTCGAAACTAGGAAAAATAAGGCAAGAATCACAATAGTATAGTACTTATGGAACTCAGAACCAATTAGAGCAAAATCAGTATAAATACTCCCTTAATTGGAGGGAATCAGTTCAAACGGTAAGAACACGTAACAAGTAAGGAAAGAAATCAATGTATGACCAATAAGGAAAGATTTCAAATACAGTAAGTGTAGGGTAAAGAATTAGGGCTAAGCTTAGAAAAACTCTAATTAAGGAGATAGTCAGTAAGAATAAAGTACCAATACAGATAAGGTAGGCGAATCAATCAAATTGAATTGAAAGTGTAGGGATCGAAAGTTTAAAGGAAGGTCTTCCAATCAAACCATGAAACAGGGGATCCAGAATCAATCAAAGAGAAAGTCATAAGTCAGTGTTTAGCATATAAATAAAGTAAGACATGGATAGTAAAAAGTCGACATACAACTCTAGCAAACATGAAGATTAAACATCATTGATAGAAAGAGGTAGGTCTTGAACAGTTAAGATGAATACAAGCACATATAATTTATGTAAGTTAGGCTAAGAAACTCAGTAGAAACATATTCGAGGATAGATAATCACAGAAACTCAAACGAGAATCAGTCAGTCACAAAAACCAAACGAAAAACCCTAAAATTAGGGCTTTCAACATAGATGAGTTAAAGAGGTAGTAAAATTATAGAATCAGTCAAAATATGCAAGAAATAGAAGTTTAATCACAAATAATCAGTTAAACAAAGTTTTAAAAGAAGTTCTGAAACTCTAATTTTTAAAAGAAAGTGAAAAACACTTGAAATCAACAATTCTTATAAAGAGCTCCAAGGATAGTGTAAAACATTAAAGAAACAAACTCAAATCATCCTAGATCTGTACAGATCTAGGAGATATAGAAAAAAATTAGGGTTTCAAAAGAAACCCATATAGAGATGAATGAACCTATCTAGAATACCAAGGATCGTAACACAAGAATAGACAAGTGCAAACCCTATATGCAAGTTGGCATGGCCCTGGGCCCTTGAAGACCTTAGAGAAGGCAGGCATGGCATGAGAGAAGCCATTGGAGGCTTAAGAGACGATGAGAGGTCACCGGAGATGACCGGAGAAGAGAGGTCGACAGTTGAAGGACTAGGGTTAGGTTGAGAGTGTACTGAGAGTAGAGAGGATTTTAGGGCGGCACTATATGGAAAATGATTAGGGTTGGGGGTCGTTTAGAGTTAAAAAGGGAAATACTAAACAAGGACCGTTGATTTTTTTAGATCAACGGCTAGGATTTGATAGGTTTTGGGTCGGGTAGGTGCATTTAGGGCCTTGGTCGGGTTATTTAATCCGAAATTGGGCTGGGGTATTGGGGTTAGTTGAGGTTAAAATTGAAATGCAATTTGGCTAGATTTTTAATAGCCAATTTATCCCCATATAATTTATAATAAATAATAGATAATTTCTAAAAATTAATTTCGTGTACTAAAATAATTTAAAATAGATATTCAACATTTTAAAAATATAGAAGATCGATTTTATGCATATAAATATAAGTATACATTAATAGGGCTAATATTGCAATTATATACAAATTAGTTTTAAATATAAAAATGCACTAAAAATATTTTAACAATATTTTGGCATAAATATAGAATTTAAATGACTAAATTACCACAACAATAAGCTGAGAGATAATTATTGGGGATTTTATGAGTAAAAAAGGGAGGAAATAAATCAATTTAAAATCTTTAAAATTATGGAAAAATTATAAAAACTTTGTGCATGATTATATATGCATATGTATACTATTTTGAAAGTATTTATGCATATTAAAAATATATAGGGAAAATTTGGGTATCAACAGGTAGTAACAACATTTCCCCTCAGGAGTATCCTACACAAACCCGAGCTAACAGGAAGGTTAGCCAAGTGGGTCATAGAATTAAGAGAGCATGATATAACATATCAACCACGAACCGCGATAAAGTCACAAGTACTCGCCGACTTCGTCATCGACTTCAGTGCGGGAATATTGCCCGAAGTCGAACAAGAAGCACTTCGCACTTCACATGACCGATCTGACCTCTGGGTCCTCTACATCGATGGCGTGTCCAATGCCTCGAGATCGGGACTGGGACTCGTACTCGAAGTCTCGATGGGCAAAGTGATTTGCCAATCTATACGATGCCCCGAAATGACTAACAATGAGGCCGAGTATGAGGCCGTAATTGCAGGATTAAAGTTGGCTCTCAAGTATGGTACTCGGTGGATCATCCTACGCTGTGACTCGTAGCTCGTTGTAAATCAAGTCACTGGGACTTTCAAGATTAAGGAACAATGGTTGCAGAAATACAAGACCGAAATCCACAAACTGCTGCTAGAATTGGACGAATGCCGATTCGACCAAATTCCCCAAGCGCAAAACATCAAAGTTGATGGTCTCGCCAAACTGGTGGCAGCAACTAAAAACATAACCAAGCGGGAGAACTCCTATATTCTGTCACCTCTCCATGTCCATTTATAAAATGGGAGATGGACATCGCTGGCCCCTCCTAGCAGGGCGAGAAAGACACGCTTCCTTTTGGTTTTAACTGACTATTTTTCCAAATGGGTGGAGGCAGGTGCATTCACTCAAATACGCAAACAAGAAGTCATCACGTTCATCTGGTAAAACATCATATGTCGCTTCGGCATTCCCAAAGAAATCAGTTGCGACAACGAATACTCTCCACGCTATATCATCCCGCCGGTAATGGCCAAGCGGAATCCTCCAATAAAACAATATAAACATACTAAAGAAAAAGCTTGAAGATGCCAAAGGGCTATGGCCGGAACTGCTACCGGAGGTTCTATGGGCCCACCACACAACGCCGAAGATCAGCACATGCGAGACGCCATATTCACTAGTCTACGGCACTGATGCAGTCATACCCGTTGAGGTCAGGGAACCCAGCCTGAGATACTCAAATGAGAGTGGATCAAGCAACGATGAAAGTAGGTTACAAGACCTAGATGAGGTCGAAGAACGGAGGGATATGGAACATGTAAGAATGGTGGCCCAAAAACAACAAGCAGAAAGATATTATAACAAGAAGGCCAAAATACAACCACTCAAAGTTGGGGACTACATAATAAAAGCCAAAACGCAAGCAGTGAAAGACCCGAATGAAGGGAAATTAGGAACAAACTGGGACGAGCCATATAAAATCACAACAGCACTAAGCAAAGGAGCATTTCAACTAGAAACAATGGAAGAAAACCACTACAAAATAACTGGAACGTCGCCCACCTGAAAAACCTCTACTTCTAAAAAGAGATGCCGCCCAAGTCGTACTCTTTTTCCCTCACCCAGATTTTGTCCCAATCGGTGTTTTCTTGGGGAGGTTTTTAATGAGGCGACAAGGAGGGCGCCTCCACGTGTGAGGTATTGTTCATTGCCCCGCCTGTTGACTACATCTCCAGGCCAAACAATGAAGGGACTAGATATAAGGAATCTCCATTATATGTACATATCAACATGTATCCCCAACATATGAATAAAATCACTCCATTATGTACACGAAATCAACACGCGTCTCCAATGCATGAATAAAATCGACACCTGCAACATCCCAATGCCTAAGGCCATCGACAAAAGAATGGGTTCGATATCATTCGAACCACGATGGGATATTACTTTGGCGCCAGCGCAAAAGTAACATCCCAATGGCTAAGGTCATCGACAAAAGAATGGGTTTGACATCATTCAAACCACGACGGGATATCACTTCGGCACCAGCTCAAAATTAACATCCCAATGGCTAAGGCCATCGACAAAAGAATAGGTTCGATATTATTCGAACCACGACGGGATATTACTTCAGCGCCAGCTCAAAAGTAACATCCCAATGGCTAAGGCCAATGAGAAAATAATGGGTTCGACATCATTCAAACCACGACGGGATATCACTTCGGCACCAGCTCAAAATTAACATCCCAATGGCTAAGGCCAATGAGAAAATAATGGGTTCGACATCATTCAAACCACGACGGGATATTACTTTGGAGCTATCTCAAAAGTAACGTCCCAATGGCTAAGGCCATCAACAAAAGAATAGGTTCAACGTCATTCGAACTACGACGGGATATTACTTCGGTGCCAACTCGAAAGTAACATCCTAATGGCTAAGGCCATCGACAAAAGAATGGATTCGACATCATTAGAACCACGACGGGATATTACTTCGGCACCAGCTTGAAAGTAACATCCCAATTGCTAAGGCCATCGACAAAAAATGGGTTCAACATCATTCGAATCACGACAGGATACTACTTCAGCGCTAGTCCAAAAGCAATATCACTACGGCTAAGTTCGTTGCTAACAAACATAGTTCAACTAAATGCAATAAGTTTAGCATTTCAACAAAGCTCCAAAGAGACGTGATTGCGGTAGAAACCATCATCAAACAGACCAAAGAAAGAAAACAACTCAGAGGTGAACACCCAAAACGACCTTCATTTACAGCAAGTATATTACAAATATTGATCCTCACAAAGGGTTCAAAAACACCCTTATAAAAATCGTGAAGCAAAAAGCACATAACAGATACTACACATCATTTTCAGTGGCATACGCGTCTTCGTACCAAGAGTCGGAGGCAAGTCTATTCACATCATCAAAATTAATATCATCTCCATCGGGCGAGAGAGGATCGTACCCGCATGCCTCACGAGCCGCACGAGCCCTAGCAAGTACATCCCGAAGTTCCGCTTTAGACGCCCTCCCATCAATGTGAAGGGCTTTGTACACATCGAGCTGAGCCTCGGTGTGAACCCACAACTCATACAAATATTGAGGCATGACGGGATCAGCTAGGGCATAAGATGTAGAAGGCTGCGACTGTCGTCGTACGTCCTCCACTTTCAAGGAATCCACTTGCTTGTTCAGTGCGGACAGTTTTGCCTCCAACCCATGAATAAGCCCCTCAAGTTTTGTCGTCCTAAGCACAGACGCCTCCATCTCCTTAGTCCACTCTAACTTGCGAACACGAAGAGCGTCCTCTTAAACTGCCACCCTCCCCCTCTCAGCATGGGCCAATTTATCAGTATTCACACTCAATTCACCCTTGAGCTCGTCGACCTCAGTCGTCTTCATGTCCAGTTTGGCAGCCAAACTGGCTACCTTCGCTTGAAGATCATCATTTTCAGACACTACTCCCCTACATAGCTCAAGCTCATCTTCCTTGGCTCTAAGGGCTTCCCCAAGCTCACTGCTACGGGCAACGACCCTCATAAGGTCCTCATCTTGTTCCTTCAACTCCTAGACCTTACGCGACAATTGATCCTCCCTTTACTTGAACCCTGCACAGAGCAGTTGGAAATTACGATCTTGATTGTAGATGTCGACCATCGTACAATGCTTTATGCGATATTTTTGGTACTTGGAAAAAATCTTTCTATCGAGGGTCATCCTCCACCTTTCCCAATGCTCACGCTCGATCTCAATGATGAGGGTCTAGCACGAGAAGTAAAAGATAGAATAAATGGGCCAAAATTAGTAACATGGATCCAATGACGAAATAAAAAGAAAGACATTTACATGTAGAGCCATGCCAGAAATGCTCCAAGACAACTCAGCATCAATCATCGCTTTGAGTGCCTCGCTATCAGGGGCAGCACACAAACGGGTAAAACCAGATGCCACCTGATCACAGTCCAACAATAACTCATAATTTCCAGGAACGACTGTGTGTCGATCAAAACCCTCCATTCTGACCTCTACGTGAATATGACACTCTGCAAACTCGTGAACATCCTCTGGTCGACGTTTGAACCCGAACTGTCGCCCTTGGCGCGAAAACCCCCGCCAAAAGTAGATGATGCTCCACCCTCGGTAGAACACGCAGACCCCCCTCCTTGATAAACCCCTTCTGTTTGGGGAGATCTCCCCTCCAAGATGGTGTCGGCCATAAACATGGGTACCGGTGCTGTCTCCGATGTACCCGTCCTACTCTTGTCGGTATCAATGACCACGCTCTTCCCAAGCTCCGTCCTCCTCTTCTTCCTCAACGAAGACTCGTCCCTATTAAAGGACTCATCCACGGGATGTTGAACTGGTAAAGAAGGGATCTCCTCCCTCACAACCATGTCTCGAAAGGAGTCCCTCGCCTGTAACGACTAGGCATGACCCTCTCAGGCAGACTCACCCAAAGAGAATTGCATCCCTGTGGAGGCGACGACCTTACGAAATGTAGGGACTAGGGGCCCCCACCTAGAAGCTCCATGACCTATCGTCATAACGATTCGTATCAATAGACAATGATATATGGACGAAGAATGATACAAAGGAAGACGCTCACTAGATGAAACTTTCGGCCCAAAGCATTTCACGAAAGCGGGCCAGTCTTGAGTCTCCGCTGCATGGGGAAGCAGATGGGCTACCCAATCCCTTATGGTTGCAATAGGATGGGGTGGACGCCCCATAGCTGTGAAAGAAAACCACAAATAAACACTAAGGAGAATGAATAAAAAAGAAAGAGTAAACAAGTGGTGGCACTTACGATTCTCATTCCACCGCTCAGGAAATCTAGTGGGGCTGGATACAATGTGGTCTATTCTGACGAAGAAGTATTTATGCTAGAATTTGTGGCTCGCCCTATCATCAGTCCCGACCACCAGCCCTTTTGTCCCACATTGCCTCAGATGCACCATAGTACCCCTATGAAAGTTTGGTGAAAACAAATGTAGGAGGTGGTGAATGGTAACTTCACACCCCGCCAACTCTGCATACTTCGTCAACAACAGGAGTATTTTGAGCGTGTACGGGTAAAGTTGTGCCGGGAAAACCTGATAAAATCGACAGAACTCTTCCGCAAACGGGAGAAGGGGGAAGGAATGGCCAATCACAAAGGGGTACTCATAAAAAGCACAATACCCCGGTCTATGGACTTCTACGAAGTCTTTTCCCGCTGGAACCATTTCAATATGAGCAGGAATGTTATATTTTGAACGGAGAGCATTGATGTGGACTTGCTCAGTTTTAGAGAATATTGGGACGGGTGTAGAAGGAGAGTCTTTGAGAAAGTCACTTCGAGACATAGGGTGTCTTGGTAGTAGCTCATCTACGGTGGGAAGGCTCCACCGGGAGGGGGCACGATGGATAGCGGGGTGGCGTAGAAACCCCCTCACGTAAACTGTGTGTTCTAGGCATGTCTGTGAAGGGAGATGTGCTAATGTAACAAGAAAAACCAAGAACAATGAACAAGAAAGAGGAGATGAAGAAAAACGCAAAAGCAAAGCTAGAAAGGTGAAAGGAAATGATCGGAAGAGAAATGGCCAAATGTTTTTGAAAAAACAAACCCTTGCTCTATTTATAGGGTTGGGTAACGCCAGAATCAAAGCGAAAAGAATTCCCGTGGCAGCAAAACCAAAGCGACAGGCTATCATGTTGTCCCTCGGGAAGACACGCCATGATGAAGCACGTGGAAGTGACATCACTCCAAAGATAGCACACACCGCCCAAGGTATGGCGAAATGTTTTGTTCTTCCGTCATCAACCGAAACCGACATGATTTGCAGATCAAATTTCTTCGTATGCGTGGATGACGTCCACTTATCAAGGATGCACCAAGCTGCGACCTCGACAAGCGGAGGGACTAACTGTATTGGTCGAAATTTGGACGACCACGACCGAAACCAAGTGTAGCAGGGAACGAGGTGCCTGTGATGTCGCTTCTTAAGAATCATTGTGATGAACAACGATCGACAGTGGCTAGCGAATGCACGACATTTGTAGTTGTATTAGCATGACAGGAAACAATGGGAATATGCTTTTAGAATATTCTTTAAGTTGTACTTTTTTCTTTTGAGATTAAGAAGGGAGATTGTCCCCTATAAAAGGGGGTCGAACATTCTGTAAAGGGGGACGATTCTAAGATTGATATACGACTTTTACTTGAAGCTGAATATCTATTGCAAAGTCTCTCTACATTCAAAGCAATCATATTTATAATTGGTTGTTCTTCTCTGAGATATAGAGAAATATTGTTCATCTTGCTCATCTTTAGCACCCTACAAGCTAGATCTTATTATACTTGGCTGAGATTTAGCCCCATCAACTTTCTTAATTGATTTAATCAAAAAGGTTTCAATATCTTTTGGTCAAACACAAGTTAGGTTTGTTCATGTCTCTAAATCTAAATGGATTCAAAATGTATTTGTTATGGCCTTGGCAATCATCAATGATTCAGGGGTTTACTCCTTTGAGGAAGGTGAACTGATGAATTTACGTGAACCTATATATGCATTCCTCCCT